GTTGTGGATGTATTGGCAGTAGCAAGTCTTGGTACTTGCTCTACCGCAGCAGCAGCAGCGTAGCAGATCTACAAGACCAAATACATTGACATTGTCATGTATATTACCATGCCAATCCCTCTGAGAGTTGTCATGACAGAACTAAGCATTTAGGATTTAGATGAGTTAGCATTAAGATTTAAAATGAAGATTTCAGTTAGACTGCTCTGATTAGTGCTTAAGAACAGGTTATACCAGTGAGTAGGGTAACATTAATAAAGTGAAAGTGAAATAGAAAGTGACATGACATGACATGTGGCCAAGTATGGTAACCCATACTCAGAATTTGTGCTCTGCATTTAACCCATCCAAGTGCACACATACAGCAGTGAGTACCGAACACACACACCCGGAGCAGTGGGCAGCCATTTTTGCTGTGGACCTAAGGGTGTTGGGTTCAGTGCCTTGCTTAAGGGCACCTCAGTCGTGGGTATTGAAGGTGGAAGTGATTGCTGTTAATTCACTTCCCCCTCCTACAATTCCTGCCGGTACTAAGATTCAAACCCACGACCTTTGGGATACAAATCTGACTCTCTAACCATTAGGCCACAGCTGCCCAAAGGACTTGTTTAAATGTGTTCGTAAGCCCTCTGGCCAAACAAGTTTGGAAGCTGCTTCAGTCATAAGTGCCTTTTCGAATTCGAAGATCTTTATGGATTGCTTATCTATAAAAAGCTGCAAAATCATCACAGTTGAGGATTGAGCCCTTCAGGCTCACAGAGACCAATTTAGAGAACTAAGCACATTGGGCAGCTCTAACTGCGTTATTGAACAGATCTGTGTTGCCTTAACATGTCATAGTCTATATGTAGTTTTATTTGACCTCATTTTCACTGAGCAATGGAGTTTTGACTGTAGTTGTTCATTCGGCCATGCAAAATTGTTGACATGATGATCACAGGAAGATTAAGAAACAGCTGGGTTCATATTGTTGTAGTTTCAGGTTTTAACATTCTGAATAGACTCGGAGACAAGGCGACATTTCTCATCAACCTTCTTTGTAACAAACTGGGCTTTTTGTACACAACTACAGAGAAGAAAACGCAAAAGACTATTGTAAAGACAACTCATATGTAACGTGTATAACCCATGGATTGCTGAGATTTTTACCATTTAGAACAGGGTGTTTTTATATAAGTTTTATATATGTGTTTTTATATTTTATATATTATATATAACGGCTGAAATCAGTGATGTGGTAGTTTGCACTGAGAGTAAACTCAAGCATTATGATTTCATCTTTCACTTGATGGTTGTATATAATTTTATAGCTAGCCTAGTACACAATGTTGAAAGGGATTATTCCAAACTGATATTACTGTCTTTTTTTGGGGGGAAAATAAACTCGATGTGATATTTTGGACTGACTGATGTGAAAATGTATATTTTGAAGAATGTTTCAACTAAAACAACATTGGATGTCAAAAATTACTGGACACAAAAAATACAGAGACATTCTTCAAGATATCTTCTTTTATGGTCCACAGAAGAAAGTAAGTAATTCAGTTTGAAACAGCATGAGTGTGTGTATATAATGACAGAATGTTCATTTTCAGGTGAAGGATCTGTATCTCTTATGCTCCTAATTCATTGACAGAAGTGAACTGGTCTGGACCAGAAGGGGACCTCCATCTTAATCTTTGGATTGGGTATCTGTTGTTCAACTAGAGGTCTTTTGATAGAGGATGACCAGAACAATGCCTGCTTCTTAACTTTTTTGCCACAGGCTAAAATCCAGGGTTTCTCAGGAGTGTGTGAAGATGTGAATGCCCTCTTCCACCTCAGTGGTTGCTTTTGAGATCTGCTTGCATTGTTTTGAGTCTCTGGTATACATAACACCATAAATCAGCTCTGAAGTCCAGAAAGTTTGGAATTTATGCTGGCACACAGTGTTCTCATGAGAATCAAATGATACAAAGGGCCTTAAATTGCTGATAACTTTGGTGGCTCATCATTAAAGAGAATTCTTGCAGCATTGTGGATCTTCCAGTTTGGAGAAAACAACCTGAACCATATGTGAGTATGGTCTCCTAGCAAGCTTTCAGTCACACTAAATGTTTTATTTATACAAGTGTGTAAGGTTTTCACTTTCTTATGCCACCTTGAGAGCCTGAATGCTCATCGTTCTTGTCCTAGTTTTAGACTGTGCATGTGAGGAAGTCCTTGCATATGTACTGTATTGAGAATAAAAGAGGGGAAAATAAAAGCTAGATGCATTTGCGATGGAACCTTTATCATTATAGTTCAATATTCTGTTTGTGAGCTAATGGAGAAGAGAAAGCAAATGAGAGAAGAAAGGAGATGGAGTTCTGTAACTGCTTGTTTTTGTCATGCCTTATTGAGTTCTGTACCAAACTGTGTTCCAATCCTTTCTGCTTGTTGATTCTCATTGGTCTCTGGTTTTGCAGTCCACCTTTTAACCCATTAGTAAAGCTATGCGACTGCAGTCTGAAATGACTTTATTGTGAAGGGAATGTTAATGTCATGTTTATACTTCCCAGTTGAACATGTAGGTCAAACGTCTCAAATGCGACTTAGATTAGATGGTTCTGTTATACAGCATTAGTATAGTTTCTTCTTGCTGTGCACAGAATTTGTTACTTGTTTTTGTGTGAATTTTATGTTGAAGATAATATGGCATGCATCATCCTATTGGAATGGGTATTTGCTGGATTCCCGCTGAACAAATGTAACTCAAATGCATAATGGGTCTTCAGATTTCAAACGTAAATGTGCCAGTTGTGCACAAGTACAATTTAGTCAAATTATTGTAAAGACAACTTGCATAAAATGCATATAAATGTGTTTTAGACACTTTGAATGATCAAAATAATGGCCATTTTATATGTAAACATGCAATTTCAGTGACTCATGTTAAGTTTTTAAGAATCTTAAAATGCTGGATCACTTGGCATCTTGTCAGGTTTTCCATTATCACAATTATGTCTTTGCCTAAATCAACCAGTAAAATGAGGCACTCGAGTTTATTCCCAAAAAAATGGAAATTCTGTCATTTACTTGGCCTCATATCATTTCAAACCTGTATGATTTTATATGAGGGATACAAAAGAACATATATTGAAAAATGTCTTGTATGCACAGTGAAATGCTGTGGGATCCAAAGTAGTTAGGTTTGTATGGGCAAAAACATTTGTGTTCATTTGTGTTCCTATGAAGAACGAAACGCCTACAGGTTTGGAACAACAAGAGGGTAAGTAGTAGGGCTGGGTGATACACCGTTAGACACGATCAACCGGTAGAGATGTTGGACTTTTTTTTCTCTATCGCAGTTATGCGCTCATGTGTCGTTGCTGTGCTATGTGGTCACGGAAACTTATTGTTTGCATGCGTTTTTAAAAATCGTGATTTTAAGCTGTTGAAACGCAATCAGCATCAAAAGGGAGCTCATTTCGCTATATGCACATGCTGTCAGAGAGACTGGTTTTGAGTGCTGTCAGAGAAGCACGCACGTGAAGATGGTGCTCATAGAGCGCGAGAGTATTGAATAGATATATTTTTGCAGTTTTACAGCCCTTGAATGGTTTAATACACATAATTGTATGTGTCACAATTAGGCATGGGCCGATTACCGGATTCAAGGTATACCGCGATTTGAAAATTTCACGGTTTCAAAACCGCTAATATTTTCTGTTATACCGTTCCTGCGGTATGTGCTGTATTTCATGTCTCAAAGACTGAAAGTGTAGGAATCCCTCAGGTTGAGTGCAGTGTAGAGAGTAACACGACCCCTCCTCCTCCTGTTGGAGCGGTCAGTCACGTGTGTGTATGACGGCAGAAGGAGCTTCCTCCAAAACTTACGCAATAGGCAACCCGCCGTTTATTGTTTTATTGCAGCCGATCTCTGTTTTGGACTTGCACAAACTGCGTTGCAATGCATATCATTTTCCAAATATAATTTATGTGAAAATATGATGTCTGTAAACGCCCGTTAACACAGGCCAGAGACGCTGAAGACGGACGCACAGAGAAAAATAGTGTAGCAGGCAGATCACTCACTTAAATATATTGTTCAGTTTTTTGTTTTTTTTACCCAGACATTTCAAATTAACACATTTTAGAGCTGTAACAACAATACTGTAAAACTGTGAAACCGTGATATTTTTGCTTAAGGTTATCATACCGTCAAAATTTCATACCGGCCCATGCCTAGTCACAATGCCTGTCTTTGCAAATATCATTGTAAACGCAATAATTTAGGTCTTAAGTGAAAGCAAACAGCTGAGAAATAAAACATGTGTAACAGTTTATTGGAATCCGGGCAGCTCTTAAATTGACAGCAGTCTAATATTCCTGCTGTCTGTCATTCACGTTAATCAAACAACAAAAGAGAAAATCTCGCACTGCTTTTGACTAAATCACTTTTGTAACTTTAATGAGAAATAATATACAGTATATTTAATTTACACAGTGACGGATATGCAGTGTTTTTATTCATTTAATTACTTTATACAATGTATGTAGCATTTCTTATTTATTTGTTCTACTGCAGTTTTTTGTCTTATTGCTGGTAATTAGTTTCTTATTCTTATCTAATCGCTGACTGTTTACATGTCTTCAGTGAGCTTGAGCTTTTTTTTTACATATACATTTAGGCTAGTAGTATTAGTTTTTGTGATATTGACACGTAACAAGAATTATGACATTTCTATGGTAAATGTTGGTATCATAAAGACCTTATTAAAGCAAAAATTTATATATTGTGATATATATCATTATCGTGATATAAAATGACTCATATTGTGATATGAGATGATAGTTTCTTTTGTGGGTAAACTATATTTCTTAACTTTTCCTCTCAATTGTGTAGTGGAGTTCTTCACCCTTTTGAATTTGACATTATATCAGCTCGATGACAAACTATCAGAAAATGTCCCACTAGACCTGTATTGATATGAAGTTAGATATCTGATGTAATCTCATTGTCCTCTGTTCTGTTTTAGAGATTTGAGGTCCATCAGGACCCGATGGTGAGCGTGGCCCATATGGTACGAGCTGGGGGGGGCGTATGGATGGCTTTTTCAGAAGGTTCCTCTATACGCTTGTTCCATACGGAAACACTGGAGCACCTGCAGGAGATCAACATATCTACACCCTCATCGTTTTACAACCCCAGTGAGTATCTCTCCTTTGACCCTACGGAAGGAGCCGTTTGAATACAAAAATTCTTTATGCCTTCACACATGCTTGAACAGCATTGTTTCCATCATTTCTTTGAACTGCACTTCTTCTGATAAAAAGTTAATGACAGAGAAGTTCTTGTTGGAATGGTTCCTGTAGGCTGGCTCTCCAGGGACCGACCGTGAATAAGTAGCTAACTTAAGACCCCGCAGAGCAGTAATGGAGCTGTGGGGTTACAGGCAGGAAAAGTCACAATGGCACAGACAAAGCTTTCCATTCGAAATGTTGTCATGGCAACACTCTTGTCATGACTCCAGCAGCCGTGGCATGTTGGTAATGTGCCAGCGTTTTGCCATTGTGCCTTTTCTCAGTGCAGCTGGTATTTAATTCAGCTGTATTGACTTTTTTACCTCTCTGCACTCACCTTTAGCCATCTTTATCTCCCTCGGGTCCTGTTAAATCTTTAAAATTGTCAAATTCTTTGTGCTTCGTCCCTCCTTTAGATGAAATATATGTAAGCCAAAACCATGGTTTTCACTACCTTTTTGCAGAAGGGAGCTTGTGTAAACATTCATTATATAAGCAAGGACACTGAAAATAATAGTTTAAGTAAATATCCACACCACTTCAGAGTAATTCAGCTCCACACATCAGACTATATAAAGAGAAAATCTGGGTGGCATCGCTCCAGTAGCTCGCAGAATCCTCCGGAGCAGAATAACTTCTTTCAGGCTGTCTAATAATGTTTGATTTCACTTGAATGCGATTGTCCACGTTAAGCTTAAAAAAAATCCCATGATTCTCCAGTTGTCACAGACAATTGCGATCAAGTGGAATAGAAAGGAGAAGGAGAAAAATAAACCCAAAGCGGTGTAGCAGACTTCAGGAACTGGCCAGAGCAAGTTAATGTCAATGGGCCTGTTGCTACAACCGTGTCTCATTAAAAACAAAGTGAAAAAGATATACCTTTGTTTTTTTTTTGTTTGTTTTTTGTCGAACAGCGAGAACATCAAACCTCTGGATCAAAGTTACAGCTGTATTTCAAAAGACACGTGAAGAAGTTGTGGCGAAGATGTCTGCGAAGGTCCTGCAACCCTCAGGCTGTTGTCGAACTTATGGAGCTAGCTGTGTTTAAATATGTAGTTCATGTTGGTTGAGGTGACTCTGCGATTTCATGTTATGTCGAGGGGTTTACAGTCAATGGAGCACAAAAGTGAAAATAAGCTTTGGCAGATGCCTTCTTCCCCTTTTTTACTCTAGGCCCAGAGAACGTCCCACTGGCTTTCCTGAATATGCTAATCTGCACACATCACACATAGGAGGACTGATATAGTTATTACAGATCAATGGTCTGCTAATCCCACAGGTTTGCACCCAAGTGATGGGTGATGAATTAATTATTGTCTTAAAGTGAACCGATTATTCTGCAGTTTCTCATCAGTTAGAACCTTCAGACATGATAAGCAAGCCAGACATAAGGCTGAATCCTTCCTCTCTAATAATAGCTGGAACAGTCAGATCCATATTGCATCAAAGAGAATCTTTGAAACATATGTTGTTATGTTATGTTGTGTTATATTATATTATACATCTAAGCCCTTAACATTATATTGTAGCTAATTAAGATTAAATAATTTTGTGTCATAATAATCTGTTTGAATTACCTGCGGTGTGACCATCTAAAATTGTTTTAAACCGCATTTCTTATATTAAGCATGCAGCTTTTATTACCTCTAATTAACTGAGAAATATTTGAATCATTTGATGAGTGAAAGTGCATTGAAAAGAACAGTTTTTACCAGTTACAGGACCTAAGATACACACTTTCCTTTATATATTCATATGATATGACAAAAGGTTCAACATTTTAACATTATACATTCAGTTAATTGTTAATTTACAAATATATATATATATATATATATATATATTACTGTTTGTTTATAATATACCACTAGCTCTTGAACTACCTAATGTTAACAGACTGAACCTTATATATTAATAGTTAATACTTTTTAACCTAAAATCTTGATAGTTATCATGCAGAAAGAGTCCAAGTACACATTATGCGTCAACTACAAGGACATCTAATAAAATATGCAATATGCATTTTTTTCCCCAAACCTCAGCATTTTATGTTTTCAGCACTCATGAATTCATATGCATTACTGTAGAACTGCAGATTTATTTGACAATCTATTATTAAGGTGATCCCTCTTGCAAAGAAAACGAATGTATAATAGGTGAATGCTCTGCAGAACTGGACAGCTGACATTTCTAAGAAGGAATTCTGCCTAATGCAGTGCATTCGCTCATGTTTTTTCATGACCTTCAGTGATTTCCTGGTGACTAACTACCATACTGAAAATGCTTCATTTACACATTAGCAAAAGACTCCCCAAGTACTATAGCAACCTAAAGACAGCACGCCGTGAAAAAGAATCAATTAGCCACTTGCCGATCACCCATGCAAAGCAAGCTTTATAATATGAGCATGGGGCCACTATCCAGGCTTGCTGAAGTCTCTGCTGTGCTGTTCTTCTTTGAATTAATTATGCTGTGGTGGCTTTCTGATGTCTGAAGACCCAGGGTCAGGGATTTGGGCACTGTGAATGAAGTCGTTTAAATGTTCCATCCATGTTGTTTTTTTGTCTAAACAGCGATTTTAATGTTGTCATACCTACACACTGCTATAATTGACCAGTTAAATAAAGCTGATGAGAGAAGCACAACTGTGAGCGAGCAATCAGCAGTGTGCTGGGTTTTAATCTGAGTCTCCACGGATACAATAATTGTTGATATGCAAGCAGGAAAGTGGTTTTCAGTGTTTGTAAAAATGTATCATACTGCATAGATATAAACAAGCCGACTAAAGAAAGTTTTTTTTTTAGTGTTGGTGACACCTGTATTTTTCTTCAGAAGGTCAGAAGAGCATGAGAGTTACCAGCCTGCTGATTTGCCAGGGGCTGCTGTGGGTGGGAACTGCCCAGGGCATTATCATCACCTTGCCTGTGCCCAAGTTGGAGGGCATCCCCAAAATTACAGGTACACAGATGGTGGCTCTTCATGATGCATAAGTGCCTTTAGTCCTTTTGGAAAGTCTCTTGCACAATGATAGAACAATTACATAATAATTCAAAGAGACAATTATGTAATGATTCCTTTGTTAATAGAATAGTTCACTCTAAAATTTAACTTCTGTCATTATTTACTCACCATCATGTTTAAAACCTGTTTGTTTTTTTTTCTGTGGCACACAAATTAAAAATCTTGAAGAATTTTTACAAAGCTTTTTTGCAAAGATCCTGAAAGAACAAAACACATCATAAAAGTGTCATGAAGTAGTTCAACGTGTCTTATGACCAAATATTTGATATCCACCCTAACGTGACACACGTATCAGTGTCATATTTAATCACTAAGGCTGCATTTATTTAATAAAAAATACAGTAAAACAATAATAGTGTAAAATATTATTTCAATTTTAAATAAAATAATTTTGTATTTTATTTTATTATAAAATGTTATTTATTCCTGTGGTAGCCATTACTCCAGTCTTTAGTAACACATAATCGTTTAGAAATTTTAAAATGCTGAGTTGCTGCTCAGTATCTTTGTGGAAACCATGATGCATTTTTTTTGTTTTGTTTTTTTTGAAGAAGTTTAAGAGAACATCTCCTTGCTGAATAAATGAAAGAATTCATTTTTTTTTTTTTATCTTACTGACCTTAAACTTCTTTAAATTTTAAAGTCATATGAACTACCTTTTTATGGTGTTTCCCCTCTGATCTGGAGCTTGTCTTTATATGGAAAAAATCTTCAAAATGTATTTGTTCCACGAAAAAAAAAAATATATGTAGGGGATAGGAACAACCGAGGATGATGATCAAATAAAGTCATTTCAGTAAGTAATACGAGTAGTAATGGAAATGAGTTATCAAATTTTAAGGTTTCTCTGACCCTGTGGCATTGCTGCTTTTTACTGATTAAAGCAATTTGAGCTCTCTTTCAATGTGGCACAGGTAAGGGGATGTCATCTCTTAATGCACACTGCGGGCCTGTGGATTTCTTAGTTGCCCTTTCCAGCAGTTTGTCTCCTGATCTTCTGAAGCGGGATTCTCTGGTGGAAGGGCATGACTCGGCCTGTGGAGTGGAGGACCGCAGTGACTCGTCCTCTCAGGAATCGCTCCAGCAGCCCAGTATTTCCGCCCAAGTGGATGGTAAAGGGAAGGGGAGGAGTGGGGTGTTGCTACAGTACCGCCTCCGCTCAACCTCAGGTTTGCCCGGGCGACCATTAACAGCGAGAGGGGACGAAGCCTCGGACTCGTCTTTAGAATCTTTGGAGCACAGCATGGAAGACGGCTCCATATACGAACTCAGCGATGATCCAGACATGTGGGTCAGGGGACGACCCTACGAGAGGGACAGGGTGAGGAGGGATAGGGTTACCTCAGTAGCAGTCATCTCGGGCGGGAAGGGCTTCCGCCGACTGAGGGAGGGTTCTGTGGCGACCACCGCAGAAACCACACTTATGATCTGGCAGCTTCCTCTCAGGATTTGAGCTGAAATTGTGTTTAAGGAATTGTGAAATGAAAATTGACAATTTACATACTGTATGTCATTTCAAACCTGAATGACTTTCTTTTGAATGAATGTACTGGTCACTCTTTTCAGCGCTGTTACAATGAATGAAAGCTTCAAAAAAGATACAAAAGTTGTCATAAAAGTGGCTCATCCTCCCATGTTACCATCATACAGTGATGAACAGTCCTTTTAAAATGTAAGGGGTTATTTCTCTGATAATTTTCCTCTCTTGAGAACCAATTCATGAACAAATCATCCAGACCAATTTTGTAAGCTCAACTAATTCATTGAAAAGATCTGACTCGAGTCATTTTACAATTCAGACATCACTAGGGTAATACAAAAAAATAATAAATTCTTTACACAAAGCTATCGGCGCACCACTTTTATGGTGTTTTTTGTCATTTTGGAGCCTGAAAGCTCTAGTCCTCAATTTTATTATACAGAAGAATGGTGACCAGGATATTTGAAAGAAACAAAGTAATATGGGTTTGGAATGACGTGAGGATAAGTAAATTACAGAATTTTCATTTCAGAGTGAACTTTCCCTTTTCGCTGGGCATGTGTGGTACAAAATGTGAGGCTCTTCTTTCCCAGAAAAAAATGTCTTCTATATTAAATGACCTTGCGATCTTGAGAAATCCAGGTCTTCCAATAAGAATATTCCATAACTAATAGACTCAGAGTAATAAGTTCGCAGTTAATTCAGCCTCTGTCACTCATTCCTGTACAGTACACTCTTAAAAATAAAGGTGCTTCACAATGCCATAGAAGAACCTTTTTGTCTAAATGGTTCCATAAAGAACCTTTAACATCTGAAGAACCTTTCTGTTTCACAAAAGGTTCTTTGTGGCGAAAGAAGGTTCTTCAGATTACAAAAACGCAAGAAAGAGATGGTTCTTTAAAGAACCTTTGACTGAATGGTTCTTTGTGGAACCAAAACTGGTTCTTCTATGGCATCGCTTGAAGAACCTTTTGAAGCACCTTTATTTTTAAGAGTGTACCTGGAAGGGGTTTCCTTACCAGTAGAGAATTTAAATCCATGTATTTAATCTCAGACTTCACCGTAATCAGGGCCTAAACTATTCAAATAGAACATTTCCCTGAGGCCTCAGTCCGGTCAGCCTTTAGTGAATCGTGATGAATTTACCACACCACAAAGCTGCTGAGGGTTTTTTTTATTCCCCTGCATCTGAAAAAATCATATCATAGAGTACAAAATCATACAGTACCTGGAAGGTGTTTCCTTACCAGTAGAGAATTTAAATCCATGTATTTAATCTCAGACTTCACCGTAATCGGGGCCTAAACTATTCAAATACAACATTTCCTTGAGGCCTCAGCCTTTAGTGAATCGTGATGAATTTACCACACCACAAAGCTGCTGAGGGTTTTTTTTATTCCCCTGCATCTGAAAAAATCATATCAGTGGAAAGTGAAAAGTAAAGTGAAAGGGGTTTTCATGCTTTTGTGCAGTCACAAAAGAGAATACTCTCACCCTTTGACTCTTGATAATGTGAACACATGAAGTCAAGCCTGTGCAGGTCGGTGTTAAAAATGGATTTCAAAACAATTGAAGGCCTGAATTTCTGTGGTGAATGGTGAAGCCTCATTAAAAATCTTTTTAGTGGACACGCTTTTTCTTATGTACACAACCTGAAAACATTTTCACCATATGGCAGTCATTTGAAACGTCTGCTTAAATCACCATTACTTAACAAGCAAGTTCTTTAGCAGCTGGTAGTAGAAAGATACAAGCACCACTAATTGCAGGAAAGTTGGGGATCTTGTGAAGCTTTTGATGTTTATTTGATCTTGTTGAAGGGTATTCACTGCTGATATTTTTTGTAATATTGCAGTTCCATCTGCAAGCTACAGTTGGTTACCCTCATTCTTTTTCCTTGTTTGATCTACATTTAAGACGTTGTCTTCCAGTCTTCCATTAGGAATTGTGCCAGATGCACATTGTATTGTGTAAAAGGGAATAGTTCGAGGTTGTTTTTGGTACAAACGAACAAGTAAATAAATAATAAACACATTAATGAATACAGCTCTAAAAAGCTCTGTTTAAACACCAGCTTGGCCAAACACGGAGCCCTGCTGAACCAGCATAGACCAGCAAACCACCTTAGGCTGGTTTAATCTTTTTTGGAGACAGCAAATAAACTGTATTAAACTAAAAGTCCTCAGAAATAGCTGCTGAATAATATACTTAAATGGTTTATTTTTCCACCCCTCACCACTTTGTCATCATGCATTTTTCATACCATGCAACATTATGAATGTACGGAATGCATAATTTGTCCTGGTACTGCAAAATTGTATTAAAACTGTTAATTAAATTGTTTTTTGTTTTTGCGTTATAACATCAAACATTTATGAAGGCCATAATATCCCACTGAATGTAATAATTGTAGTGCTACAACAGTCATTCATTGTTTGGATATGAAATTCATAAGTAAAAGTGAATTAAATGTAACATGAATAATACACATTGTGCATTATCCATCCATATAAAGTAACCACTTGAAGTTTCCATTTCTGTCCCAAATGCACTGATTTTTTTTAGGATTGTTTTATGCTAATAAAATGTAGCCTCATGTTTGTCAATTCACTGTTACTAAAATAAAAACAATAAAATCTACCTCTGTGTGTGATTCTTGTAAACAGCCGTGCAGTTTATTAGTCTAAAGTAAATGTATGAAATAAGATAGCAAACCCAGTTTGCTCTTGGCTGCTGCTAAGCTGGCAAATTTATGCAGGGCCGTGCTTTTTTTCCCCATCTCTTGTTGACCCTCACAAAAGCAAAAATCCCTGTGATTACATACGATTTACACAGAGATGGTGGATAAGTACGGTGCATTAAATGACATGCCACACTGGAAAAACCCAGAAGCTGTACCGAAAGGTCAGATCTGAATAAATGTATACATGTTGGGATGGTGAAAAACTCGACCGTTGCCGCTGCCAGAACATCTTAGATTTGAAAATTATCACTTTTGCGCAACACAGTTCAGCACCTCTGCACTCAGCAGATGTATGAACATTTTGAATGGAGTTTGTTCTGGATTTGAATTATTTATAGTGTCCTAATTAGCTAAAAAGAGTATTATGTTATGCATGCTACCCTCTCAGAAAAAACGGTACTAATATATACACTTTAGGTAGAAATATGTTATTTTAAATTACTACTATGTACCTTTAAGATACTAATATGTAACGTTTAGGGATAAATAAGTTGCAAAGATGTAACTTTTACCTTTTGTAGCTAAGGATACCGCCCCAGTGACATCTATGTAGCTTTTCTAAGAGTGTATTATGAACATAAAACTGTGCTGTTTGTTTGTGGTCAGTTATGTCATAATTCAGCTGTCAAGTCAGAGGAATTGAGCAAGTTCCTCTTGTTGAGCACCAACACCGTTTTGGTGGGAAAAGAGGTACTTCTAACCCAAGGACTCTTGGGAGTATTCAGATGGTACATGAGAGGTGTAAACACAGCTGTGAGAGTGGAATGGAGGTTCTGGGTTGTGAGGACAGACCAAAGCTCCCGCTGAATCTCTTCATCCTAGCCCTGCTGGCTTCAGAACGCCAGCCTTAGGCAGATACACGACCGAGAGCCCACTTAAACCCACGTTAGTGTAGTTTACAGCATGAAGGATGTTTGCAGTTGTGCTGAGCACAATGTGATTTGCGATCAAATTGATTGGAGATCGCAGTTCTGTGAAACAGCTGTGCTTACATGCTGTTTCCCTGAGAAGTTTAGTTCGTTAGACGAGAAAATCACCCAGGCATGTTAATTGCTGGGGAGAAAAACATCAAACAAGCTTACGATACGCTGCATATTTACTTTTAAGGTCAATCTTATTTGCACTTAGTGTTGTTTGACTAGTGTACTAAAAATCTCTTGCAGCATTTTTAGGCAACTTTGAGAAAACTAAGGCACTTTTGAATGATTCGTTTTCATAATAAATTGTGCCGGTATAATCACACAAGACAATTCTGTCTCAGAACATGACCTTGGCATTGCCCTTGTCAGTTTTAAGCCTGTCCATTTGGCTTAAATGGCCAAGCGTGACCTACAATATGAGAAATTTGCCACGTCATTACAAACACATTCATCTTTGCAGAAAAAGCGAGTCACAGCAGTGGTTATTTCAATTGCTTTTCAATTTGCATAAGTCATTTGCTCATTTCCTGTGAACCCTTGTAAAATATTCCAGTGGGACAGTTGCAGCACAGACAAACCGAGATCACATGGTGCCACATGCTGAGTCAGTCTATAATGCTGGATGGGTGCGAACACTTTATTCGCCCAACATAAGCCAGCGATTGTACAGCAGTGCTGAATTGCATTCTAAAATGGAGTTTAGCTCTAGAACGACCCGTATACACACTTTCGCCTTGGAGTCAACAAAGAGACGCAGGTTGCAGCGCAAGCATTTTGGCTGACAAACACAGCGCAAACAGCAGATACATGTGCGTACTGTGGCACTAAAGGTGTCCTGAGAGAGTTTCACCTATCATGCAACACAGCTGTGAGCAAACTGCATGTTTCTTCTCAAGATTTAGGAATCATTTGCATGCAGATGAATATTCTGCTGTTGAAAGCTTGTTTTATTTTTGATAAAAGTCACAGTTGCTATGTTGACAAAGAATGTCAAAGTTAATGATTCGTACAGAGAATGCAAAAGACTACTTCTCTGTTACCCATATCTTGTCTTTTTCCATTAAGATGTGTTAAAAAGGCCTGTGGCTTGTGACCAAGACATTTAGTATCTGTGATGTTTGGATGAAATATAATAATGTTGATGCCAATCAGACCTGTGTGAAAGCGAAACGTACGGTGATGTATTGAAGGATGACAGTTCTGAGCATGAATTGTTAACTGGTGGCTTGAAAGAAAACACGCCACTGCATTTGAATGGCATTTTCTAAATCACAGGTCTATCAATTGTTAATTTCTCTCTGTTGGACTCACTGACCATTGGCTCCAATGGTTGGTAAAAAAATATTTTATTTGGAACCAATGAAACGTACAAAATGAATGAAAATTTGATCATCCCACGCTGGTTATACACCCACCAGGAGGAGACTTGTGGCATCTCCATCATATGTACAATACATTGGCCCAAAAAGCAGTGAGACTTGTTTGAAATGTTTGAATTTCATTCTATTAGATAGCAAATATCAAACCTAGTGGGATCTGCGAATATGAAAAGTTCCTGTGAACTAACTTTCCTTTTCATAAACTTTTAATTATATTTCACTAACATTTGACAACCACAGCATGTCTTAATTTCCCCCCCAGTCCATTGTTTTATCATTTGAAACCTAAAAAGCTTCTTTTTACAACATGGTTTGCTTGAAAGGTGCAGATTGCCATGGCGGCTCGTCGGGAAGAAAGGGAAGCACAACCTACTCAATTTTGAGGTGGAAAAAAATGGAAGAATTTAATGTTAATAAAATCTCAAGTTATTACATGTCTTCAGAATATTTAGTTCTTTATTGTTATTTCACTGTTGCAAACCATAAAGTATTGCTGGAGTTGGATTCCACTGTGTTTTACCACTACTATTCCCCTTGAACATCTCTGTGGATAGAGAAGGGAAGGTGGAAAGCCAAAGCACAATCCTTTTGGGAAGCTTTTAGACTTTGGCCTCTGTTGATAAAAGAAAAAAGACAATTAAAAAAATAAAATAAAAAATAACCAATCACCATCGAGTATTTCACTGCATCAGCCCAGTGGATCTATTTCTCATTGGTTTAAAAAAAATCAACAGAGG